TACTGAGAAATCAGAACTTAGTCTTCCTGGTTCTCCTTTGTAGGTAACTTTGCATTTTTCCTGAACTGCTCTCAGGATTCTTTCCTTGGCTTTGATTTTGAAAAGTTGGATCATGATATGGCTCAGTGATTTTCTTTTGGGATCTATCCCTGTTTGGGGGTTCCTTTAGCTTCTTGTATGCTTATCATCTCGCCTTTCATGTTAGGGAAATTTTCTTCCAACAACTCTTCGACAATTTTCTCTGTGTTAGTCTCTTCCTGTTCTGGAATTCCAACCACTCCTAAGGTTTTCTCTTCATGGTGTCCCACATAAGTCTTAGGCTTTCTTCATATTTTCTCATTCTTTTTTCTGATTGTTCTTCTAGCATACTACTTACTAGTATTGAGAGATTTCTCTTCAACTTCAGGCTTCCATTGCTTCACATCTACTCCTTTGCCCTTTCAATGTATTGTCCTTTTCTGAGATCTTAGTATTAATCTTCTGGATTTCTAATTGCAGGTTTTGTATTGTTTCAAATTTTGTATTTATCTTGTCTGTTTGTTCTTGTAGTACTTGCCTGAATTCTACTTTTTTACTGTGTTCTTTCTTTCTAGATTTTTCAATAGATCCTTTGAAGGTTCCTAATTAACATTCTTTTGAATTCTTTGTCAGTTAGTTCCATTACCTTTTCTTCTTCAGAAATGTTTTCTGGCTCTGCATTTGGTCACATTTGAGCCATTCTCTATTTCTTCCTGTGAGCTAAAATTATCTGTTGTCTCCAGAGCATTGTGGGGTTGTTGTATTTGTAAAAACAAAGTGCAGTTACTGGACCCAGAGGGGAGAAATCTCTGGTGGCCTCCTGCAATTCAAGCTCATTAGGTGGTTGTGGAAGGGATTTGGCAGCAGAGTTCCTGGCCCTAGATGGAGTTCCTATTGACCTATGGACCTCAGTGTTATCTATGTTCAGGGCACTCAATCTAGAAGTAGTTCATACAGGTCCTTGATGGGGCTGGTTTTGGTGTCTATTAGCACCACAGGGAAGCTGGAGGCAGGGTGACTGGTTGAATGCTGGTCTGGTGACTCTGTGGTTTTTGTAGGTCTGAAGCCAAGACCACCTAAATCCAGGCACCGATGCGACTCACCACAGTGGCATAGCCAGCCCCCAACACACACTTGCATGGCTCCAAACGCCCGGAAGACAGGGAGTTCCTCCCTTCACTGCCAAAGCTGCTCACAAGATGGTTGAGCTGCGTGCGTCTGGCCAGACGTTCATCAGTCAGTTTCCCTCATTTGCTGTCCCTGCTCAGCCTGTCCTCTTAGCAAACACTCCTTCCACCTCTCTCACCTTTCTTCTTAGTTCAGGGTGCCAGAATTTTCATCTATGTCCATTTTATTTGGTCGCTCATATCTTTGTTGTAGAGGGTTCTTGTAGTGCATCTGCCTAATCTCCTGAGAATGCATTTTTACAAGTGATTCCTGCACATGGTACAGTATGGGAAGCACTGGGCGGTACACCTTAGAGTCATGGTGCCAAATCTTTCCTCACCTATTGCAGGGTCACTGGTTTAAAGGTCTCTTTCATTGGTCTGTCTGCTCTCAAGCCTGCTCCCAAAAGTCTAGACCTTTATTTCTGTCTCACCGAAGTGCTCTTTCTCTGGATTAATTCCTAAACACCTACACCTGTCTTCATTAATATCCACGTAAGTTCAAAACTCATCCTTGCCTTCTCATTCTTTCCTACATGCACCTCCACCAATCCATGGTGTGACTGGAATAAGCCATCTGTGCACTAAACATTTTTATGAAACTTGTCCTAACTATACATATCCTGAAAGGGTGTGGACACTTATATGACAAAAGGATTAACTGGGGTTCCTTTGAAAAGAGCTACCCTTATACTGAAACAGGAGCCCTGTAGGCTCTATGAAGCACTTGGCTGCTAACTGAAACATCGGAAGTTTGAACCCACCATCTGCTCCATAGATTACAGTCTTGATAACCCCATGAGGCAGTTCTACTCTCTCCTACAGGGTTGCTATGAATTGTAGTCAACTTGATGACAATGGGTACAGAGTATAATGAAACAGGAATTTCTACATCTCAAGCTAACTGGCAGAGTCACTAGAAATTGTGAGCCAGCTTAATGTCACCTTTTGAAGGGCACATCCTTTGTAAACACTGGCGTGTGCCTATCCACATGAGCACTCCAACATGTTCTTGTTCTTTCCCAGAAACTGTGCTTGTGTGGCTCTCTTTCCGCATGCGTGGGAACCTTCTGTAGATCTTAAAGTAGAGATGCTACACAGCCACCAAACCCCATGACCTAGGAAAGGCAGCACTTTTCAGCATCCTAATTCTGAAAGGTAAGTGGATGCATGTCTTATTCTTTGTTCCTAGTTGCTGTTAGGTGCCATCAAGTCACCTCCAAGTCACAGCAATTTCGTGTCCAAAAGTATGAAACACTGCACCACCCTCACAACCATTGCTGTGTCTGAGGCATAGTTGCAGCTACTAATGCCAGTCCATCTCACTGAGGGTCATCCTCTTTTTAGCTGACCCTCTACTTTACCAAACATGATGTCCTTTTCCAGGGACTGGTCCCTCCTGATAACAGGTCCAAAGTACTTGAGACGAAGTCTCGCCATCCTTGATTCTAAGGAACATTTCAGTTGCACTTCTTCTAAGCCAGATTTATTTGTTTTTCAGGCAGTCCATGTTATATTCAATATTTTTCACAACATCATAATTCAAATGCATCTATTGTTCTACAGTCTTCCTCTTTGCTCATTGTTCTGAAAGGCGGATCCAATTATGTTTACCTAGTCCAGACTGAAATAAATATTTTTCTATTTTTCCAGATTCTAGAGCAATACCTTACACACCAAAACCATCTCTGGGAAACTATAAAAACATTTAGTGGTTTCTTGTTGGGTTTTGCTTTTTTGTTTTTTGGGGGAAAGGGAGTAAGGAGGAAAGAAGCTGAAGGTGGGGGCTTAGGGGATAAAACCTTCCATAAAATAAATCACCATTTCCAAAAGTTACAGCGTGTGACAAGAAACATTAAAGCTGTAACCCCATCTTCAAAGAGCTATCCAGTCTAAGAGAAGAAACAACAGAACACATATTGTCCCCCGGGCACATAAGGGCATGTATGTAGGTCTCCTACAAGTTTGAGGGATCATTCAGGTTTATCTCAGCATGTTCACCTGGTTCCACTTCATGCAGTTCCCCTCACTCAGATATGCCATCCACATCACTTCATTTCTTTTTTTGGTTCTGTCCTTCACACTTTCATGACCTATGAGACATATTATGGACCAACACTTTCAGCATCTCGGGTTTCTTGGGAAGCTCTTATCCCAGTTGTAGTATGTTGTGGTTGTTGTTGTTGTTGTTAAGTGCTGTCGAGTCGATTCCGACGCATAGTGACCCTGTATAGGGTTTCCAAGGCTGTAAATCTTTACAGGAGCAGAAAGCCTCATCTATCTCCCGCGGGACCGCTGGTAGTATCGAACTGCTGACCTTGAGGTTAGCAGCCTGATTTGTAACCATTACTCTACCAGAGACCTGTAAAAAGGGGCTTCAAAAAGGTTGTGGAGAAATGGAAGTAGAAGAAAATAAAATTTTCACATGGAGTTTGTGAAATCCTGTCATATAACTGCATGAGTCGGAACAAACAGGCCTCACCCCAACAAGCCTACCGGAGTACAATTGGAACATATGTGTCCTATGTAATTTTATCAAAATCCTTATTATCTCAAAATTAAAATTCCACCCATCTTGATTTCCACATATCTTCCATTACTGGAAAACACAAAGTTCCAATAAAAAATTCAAAACAGAAAATAATTTGGTCATGTAAGAGTTAAAAGAGAAATGCCTACACGACAACCCTAAAATAGTGTCAAACCTCAAAAGATGTGACCTCTGCAGCAGTATTTGAGAGGTTTCAGAGATTAAAACGTAGACCCTCATACAGTAAATTAGTCCACAGAAACAACTGTAACCACCCAGGGCATTTTATTTGAGAAATTTCTATGTATTACATAGTTGTTGACTTCCCTCCTCTCACCTTTACCCCCTCAAAACAGGAAGATTTAAAAAAACACACAAAAAAACTCAAGATATAAAAATTTGCTATCTAGTCTCTCTAAAGTCTTAGGTTATTTGGAAAAAAAAAAAAAAAAAACCAGCCTGAAGTGGTGTCTTCTCTTGGATGAGGAAACTGCTTTTTAATGAGAATTCAGTCTTTCCTTGTGTTCACTACAGATTTCTGTTCTTTCCTGGGGGGGAAATGGTCACTGCTTCTGCTTCCTTTTAATAAATTCTCTTCTTGATTATTACACATTATAATTCCCCACTCGACACCTTCTTAGACACTTGATTGTTGGATGCATTTTCCATTTGGCAAAAATTCAATGTGGCTTTGCGTGGGATGTCTAAGTGTCAGAAACAGCAGTGTTGACACTCTGGGTTTGAGGGAAATATATAGAGAGAGATGCACAGACTCCCTGGAAGAACAAAAGTCTGAGACTGAAACAGGGTGTGCACAGAGTTAAGGCTGACAGACACTACTTGGTTTTGAATTCTGTGGTTGTCAGCCATCAAAGACTGCAGTACAGGCCAGAATATCAATTTCCCCAGGAAGAAGTTTCGTTAGACCCTTGAACTGACAGAGATTCAATTTCATTTGTTTCAAGTGTATCGGAGCAGACACACACAAGAAGGAGCAGTGTGGGCCATTAGCAGTGGATGTAACCTATGCCGGAATGGGCGTTTCTGTAAATGCTTTTGTCAATCTTGGCACCGGGGAAAGAGAAACCAAGTGTCCTATAAAAATATAAAATACATTTCCATTTCTAGTTCTCCTAAGAGCCCAGGTTTCCCTAGCTCTGTGATTTGGTGATTTGATGACTAGAATGAAGTTTACAGTTTATGTGTCATTCAAGGTCATCTGGCAGCTGGTTCTCTGGGGGCAAATCAGAGGCCCCAAAACCTGTGTGGCCAGGAGGGCAGCAAGTCTACCCAGAAGGGTATGCCTTAATGATCTTCACATCGTCTACAGGGCGGTCCTGAGAGTTTGTTTCCACCATTCCCACTCGATTCACCATTCCTATGCCCTGGCACACCCGGCCAAAAATGGTGTGTTTGCCGTCAAGCCACTGGGTGGGAGCCAGCGTCACAAAGAACTGGCTGCCATTGGTGTCTGGCCCTGCATTGGCCATTGCGAGAATTCCAGCCCCTGGTAAGAAAAAGGAAGAGAGGAAAGAGTATGAACAATCCCCACAGCTCAAGACTGGAAGTACTACAGTATCAAATGAAAAGAGGCAAAACTTTGTTTGGTCTTTGTTATCAACCACCCTGGCCCAGCCAGCTTCCCCTCAGGATAACTCTCTGCCCTGTACCAAGGTTATCACTACACTATACTGATGACCTCATCTTCCCTTTCCTCACCGGCTCCCCAGGCTTTATCCCTGAGGATACCCACTGGGACAGTCTCCCTATACACTTCAGGCACCCAGTGAAGTCTCCTGCTGCACTGAGAAAGTTTGTGATAGGCTGTCATTTATAACAGCAACATTCAACAGGTAGTCTAGAACACTCAGAACCACTCGGGACTCTATAAGGCGCTGCTTTCTCTAATCTACCAGCACTCTTTGTGGCGCCACAGACGGGCAGCTACTGGCACTGTGCCATGGTGTCTGACATTCCACCTTGACTCACGGCCAAAAGAGAGAGCTTTCAAAATTTATTTCCCCTTCCTACTCAGGCCCGCCACACTATATACTTACCTGTGAATTTTAAGTCTGGATGAAGTTCATCTTCAAACTGCTTGCCATAGATAGACGCACCACCTCGACCTGCCCGATTAGAAGATGAGGAAATGAATAGCTAATCCCATCATTCTATCTCACAGCACAAATGGCGGACCAGAGTCAAAAGGTTTTTCAGAGCCCAGGAAAGGAAAAGACAGTGGGCAGACCTACTCCCCTGCTAGGTATGCTGCAACTACACAACACTGATGCCAGCAGCTGAGTGAAGCGTGGATCCAGCACATTCACATCACTGCTTTTGTTCAGTTGAGACGCTTCTTTTCAAAATACACTTGGAGTAGATTTTTGTCCTCATTACTAAAATAATACATATTCACTGTCAAAAATGTAGAAAACATTCTCTATCAAAAAA